CAGAGGCAGGCGGATCTCTGTGAGCTTGAGGCCAGCCTGGTCTACAAGAGCTAGTTCCAGGACAGGCTCCAAAAGCTACAGAGAAACCCTGTCTCGAAAAATCCAGAAAAAAAAAAAAAAAAAGATTGGGTTTAACTGTGTAGTTCTGGCTGTCCTAGAACTCACTATGTGGTCCAGGAGGGCCTCAGACTCACAGAGATCCACCTTCTGCCTTCAGTGTCCTGGGATTAAAGGCACATGGTCATTGATCAGTTTAAATGCTGAGTCATCTATCTAGCTCTGGATAATTTTTCTTTTCATGTGAATTTAGCCCCACACTCTTAAGATAATACTATACCTAAATATTGTAAACCTGTAGGATTAGGTCCACTGTCTTACTATTTTATTTATCTTTTTTTTTTTTTTTTTTTTTTTTTTTTTTTTTTTTTTTTTTTTTTTTTTGCTGCTACTGTTTTGAGACACAGTCTCACTGTACAGACCTGGCTGGCCTGGAACTCACTTTGTAGACCAGGCTGGCCTTGAACTTACAGAGCTCTGAATCAGTGCTAGGAATGCTGGGATCAAAGGACTGTGGCATTATGCCTGGCTTTTGTTTTTATGTTTAAGACAGCGTCTCACTGTGGAACCCAGGCTGGAATGAAATTCCTGACAGTTCTGCCACAGCCTCCCAAGTTCTAGAACTATAGGTGTGAGCCTCTGTCACAACTCATTTGGTATGTGTATTTTTAGATAAGGTTTGCTATAGGACTCCAGGTGGTTTCAAGCAATCCTTCCATCTCTGCCTCTTAAGCAGTTGGGAAGACAGGTTATGTTGTTTTTTAAATAAGTCAGCTGCAACTACCACAATGATATACCACAGGGTTAGTGTCTTTGTTTGTTTGTTTGTTTTTGGTTTTTCGAGACAGGGTTTCTCTGTAGCTTTGGAGCCTGTCCTGGCACTAGCTCTTGTAGACCAGGCTGGCCTCAAACTCACAGAGATCCACCTGCCTCTGCCTCCCGAGTGCTGGGATTAAAGGCGTGCGCCACCACCGCCCAGCTAAATTTAGTGTCTTGATACAGAAGGGAGTTGTCTCAGAATTCTGGAAGCTACAAGTCTAGCTTACAACATCACAGGGGTAGCCTTTCCTGTCTCCTCATAGCTTCTCACGACTTTGTGGGCAGTCTCTGTTTCCCCTTGGCTTGCGGCTGCATACCTATCTCCGCCATTGCTGTCACTGGGTGAGGACCTAGCAGGTTGACCACTAATGATGAACACCGCTCCTTCATACTCGGGCTACCACAGGAGGGAGGGGTCAGTGTTTAAGAGTCTCAACTTCGGTAAGCTGCATCTGCAATTCCTAGTTTCCAGACAAGGTTCTAGGCTGAGAGCTATCATTTTAGCATAGCCATTTGAAGGGACCAAATCTCAACCCTTATTTGGCCTCTTGAGATGATGCCGTGACCTGTGCTGCCCTGTCTTCCTGAGACGCTGTTAAGAGACACGGCCACACTCTCAGGAAGCATGGTGTGGAGTCACTGGAAGCTCCGCGGCAACTTCTAAAAACGTTTCTGTTCGAATGGGTTCTATGCCCTTGTGGCCCCTGTCTCCAGGCGTCATCCTGCCACTCAGGTGCCACAGAACAAGCTATGCATCTGATCAAAGGTCTCCCATCAGTTCCTGGACTGCAGCCAGGACACGGTCAGCTTCTACTCCCATTCTACCCTATATATCTGTTCTATTGTCCTCTGAATACGCCTAACCCAGCAGGTAGACCAGCTCTCAGGTTTCCTCTAGAGATCACTTTAGAATCCGACACCCGTGAACCACTAAGCCTATTAAGATTTTGTTCACCTAGGGTCTGAACTCCTCCAGGCCAGTCATACTTCCTCCCAGAGCCCTTTCTGTCTTGTGGGAAGGACTTGAACTTTCATCTGAGCCCAGCATTGCTAAACCTTTCTCTATGTTGCTGGGGACTGTGCACTGCTTTGTTTGTCTGTTTGCTTTTTTCAAGTCAGGGTTTCACTGTGTAGCTGTCTGATCTCCAGACATGATGTATAAACCAGGCTGTGCTCGAGCCCACAGAAACCCACTAGCCTCTGCTTCCCGAGTGCTGGGGAATTTTGCACTGTTAACTTGCCCACTTCTAAGTAGCCTGCTTCTTTCCTTGCCAGCATACTTTAGAGCATCTCTTGTGCTTTGATAGAAGCCAAGGAAATTGTCCTAATTTCTAGGGTAATCCGTGTCTTTCATTCCTTCCTCCCTTCCACAAGATCTCATTAATTATGTATGTTCAAGTGTAATACTTCTTTGGGGATAATTATTTTCAGGTTATTTCCCTGATTTTTAATTGTTCGTTCATTCAATTGATTTTTAATTACATCTTTTATTTGTGCATGTGCGTGCGTGCATGTGTGTGTGTGTGTGTGTGTGCAGTTGTGTGGGCATAAGTATGCCTTAGCACATCTACATGGGTCAAAGAACAGCCTGTTGAAGTCAGTCTTCTCCTTCCACTATGTGGATTCTGGCAATCACATCAGCAGTGTTCGCCTTATTTCCTGAGCCAATCCATTTGCTTTCCTTCCTTCCTTTTTTCCTTCCCTCCTTCCCTCCTTCCTTCCTTCCTTCCTTCCTTCCTTCCTTCCTTTCTTTCTTTCTTTCTTTCTTTCTTTCTTTCTTTCTTTCTTTCTTTCTTTCTTTCTGTTTTGAGACAGGGTCTTACTTTGAGTCTAGTAGCCTGGCATTTCCTCACGGCGATCTTCCCGTTTCAGCCTCCAGGGTAGCATTACCTGTAATCCCTAAACCTGGAGACAGGAGTAGGAGGATTACTTGACGTTCAAGGCTAGCTTGCTTTATATACTGTATTTTAAGCCAGCTAGGGCCACATCAAAACTGTCTTGACACCCCCTACCCCCTAACAAAACCCTCTACAAACAGAAAATCTTGGTGAGTTTAGTTCTGTCTAATCAGTTACTCTTATTTTTTCTATTGACTCCGGGCTCCAGAAAATACTGTCTGAGAGGATCAGGCTAGGAAATTGAAGACAGTTCCTCATTTCTGGCCCTCACAACAGCAAGTATGTTCTAGAAAAGGGGAAAGAGCAGTAGGAAGTAAGAGGAACCCTAGATTTGGCTGAAAATGGTTAATTTCAGCTGTAGAGATGGCTTAGTGACTGGAGAGATGGTTCAGTGGTTAAGAGCACTAGCTGCTCTTCCAAAGGACCAGGGTTCAAGTCCAGCATGAAAATCTCCATGTGGAACCCCAGTTTCCACAGGTAAAATACTCATACATGGAAATTTTTTTATTTTATTTTTTAGAGAGCAGGGGGCTGGAGAGATGGCTCAGAGGTTAAGAGCATTGCCTGTAAGGGTAACCTCCTCATCCCTCCTCATCCCTCCTCACCCCTCCTCATCCCTCATGTTGTTGTGTGTATGCTTGCAGGCCAGAAGAGGGCACCAGACCCCATTACAGATGGTTGTGAGCCACCATGTGGTTGCTGGGAATTGAACTCAGGACCTTTGGAAGAGCAGGCAATGCTCTTAACCTCTGAGCCATCTCTCCAGCCCCCTGTTCATCCCTCTTGACCTCAGAACTTCCAAGTGTAAGTGAGGCCCTTGTCTGAGAGGGAAAACATAACAGATGCTAAAATGTCAGGAAGTCAGACCAATATGGAAAATTCTTATATGAATATTTTGTTGGTTTTTTTGTTTGTTTGTTTTGAGAGAGGGTTTTTCTATGGAGTCCTGGTTATCCTGGAACTCACTATGTAGTCCAGACTGGCCTAGAACTCAAAGAGATCCACCTGTCTCTACCTCCTGAATGCTGGGATTAAAGGCCTGCCCAATATGTCTGGGCCAAACATGGAAATTTTCTAAGGAAGGAAAAAACAAAACAGAAGACATGTAAGCAAAGCAAACTCCAGCCAGTCGCTGCCTGCCTGGTTTGTGTTTTTTTTTTTTTTTTTTTTGTTTTTTTTTTTTTTTTTTTTTTTTTTCTGTATCTGTCTGATATGAAGCTCTATCAGCTGAGCTGTATGATCCCTCCCCCCACTCTCTATTCTAATAAATGACGTTTCCAGGTTTGGGATTAGGGTAAAAAGAGGAAGAATCCTGAAAATTTAGAGACGGATTCCACATTTGAAAGTCTCATGTTTTGTTCCTTAAGGGTCGTGTGTCCGTGTTGGTTTTTTTTTTTTTTTTGAATACTGAACTAAAATACTTACGTTGAGGTTGTTTTGTAAACCCATTTTTTAAAATTTTATTATTTGTTATTATTTTTATAAGACAGCTTCTCACTATGTACCTCAAGCTGTCCTGCAACTCACTATATAGTCTGTCCTCGAACTCACAGAGATGTATGCCTCCCAAGAGCTGGTAATAAAGGCGAGAGCCACTACACCCGACTGAACTCATACATTTTAACCAGTAGGAAGTGTCTTTCACTTGCATTTCGTTCTGGTCTTGTGAAATATCTACGAGTCCACAAACTCTTCTCCTTCTCCCGGGCCTCCCCACCCGCGTGGATCTCGAGACCACTGCACGATGGGTCACTTTGACTCTCCGGGACATTGCGGGGTGCAGCTCCGGGGTCCCGGCCTCTTCGGCACCTGCTACATTGCGTAGGACTCCAAGGTGTGGATACTTCACTGTCATCCCCCAGCCTCCACAACCGCAAAATAGCGGGAGGCCATGCACCGGCGCGAGAACTGAGCGGCTCGCAATCACTCAGCACTGATCTGTAGTAAGCGACCTGAGCAACGCGCGTGCGCACTCCGCCCGTCACGGGCGAGAGAAAGGGCTCCAACGCTCCCGGGTTTGCAACCGAAAGGCTCGGGAGCGCCAAAAATCTTCCGCGTGCAGCTCGCGGGCGCAGGCGCTAGCGGACTGCTGCTAAGACAAGGCGTGGCCCTGGAGCCACCCGCTGGTCGCCGCCCAGGGGTGGTCCCTGCGCGGCGGAAGGCGCGGCCCGGGCGCCCGCCCGATGGGGCGGGAGGGGGGCGGGTCGCTGCTGCGTCCCCGCCCCGCGCTCGGGCCGGGCCGGGAGGGTCCCCGGGCTTGCGGACGGGCCAGCGGCTGTGCTTCTCGGGACAGACGCAGCGTCATGCGCAGCCCCCCTGGCAGGGCGCTGCTGCTGATTACACGCCGGGGCCCGGCCGTGCGTGCGTGGGCCCCGGCAGTGTCCTCTAGGACGTGGCTGGCTTCTGAGTGGAACCCGCTCGTACGCGCGTGGACGTCTCGAATCCATGAGCCGTCCCCGGGCCTCCGCTTTCCCGCGCCCCTCTCCCGGCTGCCTGGCGGCGTGGGGCGATGGGCCACATCCTCAGCGGCCCGCAGGTGCTGGGTACTGGCAGGATCCCGCGGCGTGCGTCCCCTGTTCGCCAGGTTCCAGGGAATTCCAGCGGCAGCCACCGGTGTGCGAGACCTTGGGGATGACTCCCGGCGGCGGCCCGCGGCGCCACGGCGCTCAGAAGTGTGGAAGCTCCTGGGGCTGGTGCACCCTGAGCGCGGGAAGCTGTCAGGTAGGAACCTTGGGGGGACCAGCGGGCTGCAGGGGACCCAGGCCTGGCATCGGCCTCGGCCGCGGCCTCGACAAGGGCGTTCAGATCTGCCGACACCTGTTGGAAGGCTATGGGTGCCGTCTTGACTGGCGGGCGCTCACCGTCTGAGGTCAGCAGAGCCTGTTACCAGAATATTTAAATCGGTCCCCACCAGCTAGTTGGCAGCGTCTGCTTTGGAGCATTCTCTAAATAAACTGGAGTTTAGACCTTTAAGAAAAAGTTTTGCCAAAACCATGTCTACTTTGTATTATACATTTATAATGTTTTTAAAAAACCATCACCTGGGCTACACAGTATCAAATAACCAGCAATATTTCACATTAAGCTGAGCACTGTGAACCTCATGCTGGCTGTCACTTCCCTAAGTGATCAGGACCAGACATTGGCCACAGCATAAAGAAACCAGACAGTAACTCAACCGAATCAACTAAAAGAAATCAGAATGGGCTGATTCTAAATGAAAATATTCTGTAACTCGCTGGGTTTTTTAGCAGTCATTGGAGGCATGGCTGGAGCAAAGACCTGCTGAGAGCTGGAAAGTCCTGAAGGTTTTCTACCTCCATTTCCCTGTGACAGTGGATTGTGGCCTCCTTCTGTGGGGTTGTCTTGGGAACTGACATGGAGTCCCGCCCCTGCTGGGCTTCCCTGCTTAGTGGGCAGGAAAATAATTTGAATTAGAGATGAAATGGAGATAGGCCTGAGGGTATTCCAAGAGGAAGACAACCTTGTCATACAGCTCTGAAACAGGCAGCACCCTAAATTGCTTGCTGAGTCCCTTGCTGTACAGATTACTCCTTTGGGAGAGATTGGACTTGGAGAAGGGTGTCTATGGAGCGAGGGCATATGGATCTGCCATCTACAGGAGTTAGCACGTTGGGGTGCCCTTAAGTATAAAGAAGAGACAATTTACTATGGTTGTGGGTTTTAATGGAAAACATTTTTTTTTTTCTTCTTGGCTAGCTTGTAAACCTGTTTACCTGTGTTTCATTTTTTTTTTAACAAATCGTTTGTTTGTTTTTTTTTATTTTTTTATTTTGTTTTTGGTTTTTCGAGACAAGGTTTCTCTGTAGCTTTGGTTCCTGTCCCGGAACTAGCTCTTGTAGACCAGGCTGGCCTCGAACTCCCAGAGATCCGCATGCCTCTGCCTCCCGAGTGCTGGGATTAAAGGCGTGCGCCCCCACCGCCCGGCTCGTTTGTTTTTATTTTATGTGGTGTTTTGCCTTCATGTATGTCCGTGTGAGGTGTTGGATCCCCTAAAACAAGTTACAGTCAGTTGTGAGCTGCCATGTGGGTGCTAAGAATTGAATCCATGTCCTCCCAAAGAGTAGCCGGTGCTCTTAACCACTGAGCCACTGGACCCCCTCCCCTGTGTTTTATTGAGACAGGTTTAATGTAGTACAGGCTGACCTCAAACTCACTACTAAGGATGACCTTTAACTCCTGATCTTCTTATCCATCTCCCAGAATTGAGGTGTGAGCCACCAAACCCAGGTTTAAAGTATATTCTTGGGGGAGGGGAGGACACAGAGCTGGGTATGCATGGAGGAGCCTGGAGACTCTGGGGAACTGGGCATGCCCAGACTGTGAGGCGCTGAGACAAGAACTTAGTCTGCTTCTGAAGCTTCAGATTTCAAAGTTTTGGGGACTCGGGCCTTGCTAGTACCACCTAGCCCTTCCCTATCTGCTCCTATCTGTCATCTCTGTGACCTCTCCCCACTTGTCCTGCCTACTAACATATGCTGTGAAGTCTGCCTTAAGTCACTCTACCAACCTACGTCATCAGAGCAGACGGTCTGCCTTACTGAAACATCAAACGTATGATTTGAGAATTAACCTCACTGCAGCTGGTATGATAGTGAGTGGGCTTGCTTTTGAGTCAGGGGCTTGCTCTGTCATCCAGGCAGGCCTCTAACCTGAGATCTCTTGCCTCAACTTCCCAAGTGCTAGGAACACTTTAGGCTTCTAAGTAGATATAGTAAAGCTATTCTGTCTTCAGGATGTTTGAAGACCTCTTTATATAGCCTATGTTTTCGTCAGAAGTCATCGGAGGTAAAGCCAGTCTGGTTTTGGGTGCTGGGGGAAGTAAAAGGAAGTCGTTAATTTGTAATAAGATCAGGCTAAGCAAGAGTTGGCACATCTCCGACCGACGTGCTGGAGGAGCAGAGCTGTTGTGTAGGTTTGTGTCTTTCTGTCTCTCTGTCTTGTTTTTGAGACACATACCACTTGGTAGCCCAAACGACCATGAGCACACAGCAGTCTTCCTGCTCAGCCTCCTCAGTGCCGAGATGATAATAAGCATGAGCCATCATGGTGTCATTATTTCTTTAAAGAGCTCCAAAAAACAGATATAAGAGAAAAAATCTGGTGTTAGGTGTCCCCCCCCCCCCTCTCTCTCACTCTCTCTTTCTCTCTCCTCTGGTTTTTTGAGATGCTTCACTGTGTAGCCCCCCTGGCTGACTTGGAACTTGCTCTGTAGACCAGGCTGGCCTTGAACTCAAGAACTCTGCCTGCCTCTGCTCTGCCTCCCCAGTGCTCAGATTAAAGGCCTGCGCCACTACTACCTGGCTTCTGATGTTCAGTTTCTAATTTTAGTGAAAGTTAACATCCCAAAAGTGTGGTTGTGTTTAAATAATAACCTTTCCTTCCCTACTGTTCAGCAGTTTGTTCCCCAGACGATTTTGATGTTAAGTATCCAAAATTTGGAAAACAGGGCCTCCTGTTTGAAATGGCTGCGGATAATTGTCCAGAGCAGAAGTCACATAATTGCTCTTCCTCCAGGCAGCCCACTCCTTCAGGATTTTGGCTATCTTGGTATCCCTGGGTCTGCAGTGCTACCCAGAGCCTTTTCTCACTGATAAGTCTTCCTCTTATCACTTTGGCCACAAGGAACCTCAGAAGGTGCTGAGCCCAGAATCATCAGAACATGCCCAGAGCAGACAGGAGGTACTTGTTCAGGCTTTCTGTGTGCTTAGCAGATAGGAGGCCAGGGCCCAGATATCCCAGTGAGCAGTGGGCCCCAAGATGAGAAGATACTTAGAGTACCAGGTCTCCTGGCTCACAGAGTGGGTTCTTAGCTAGAGTAGAGTTAGACTGTTGGGTGTTACATTCTGCTCTCTTCCCTTCATGTTTCAGACAGTGCAGATATGTAGGATTTGGGTCTGCTGCTTTCCTGAATTACCAGTAAGGGCTGGGTTTCTCTGTGTAACCCTGGCTGTCCTGGAACTCATTCTGTAGACCAGGCTGGCCTCAAACTCACAGAGATCCATCTGTCTCTGCCTTCTGAATGCTGGGATTAAAGGTGTGCACATCACTGTCCAGCTCGATAATGACTTTTCTTGAAAGCCGATGCCTGCCTGGAACCGTGGCTGAGTTTGTGGGTTGACTTTTATAGCTGTGCCTGTGGAGTGACCGTAGTGAAATACAGTGTAGAAAGGATGGAGAGAGACTATCTCCAGCTGCTGCTTCCTGATGCCCAGGCAGAGCTGTGGTCCAGCCGGACAGGGCTAAGGGACAAGAGGAGCAGCCTGTCATGTCGGGGCTGCTCCAGGGATCTGAGTATTTCCTGAGCCTCTGTTTCTTCCTCAGCTTCATCCTGGGTTTTCAGCCTCCATATCTTCACTTCCTTCCCTCCACTTAGGGCCAGCTCAGCTCAGCCTTCATCTCCCATCTGCCCTCCACCCTGTTCTTGTCACATCCACAGCATCCCTGGAAATGTCTCCCTGATCCCCCATAACCCAGCATGTCCGCAAACAGCTGTCACGCTCTTGAGGAAGCTGCCTTTTTGCCCTTTTCCTTCCAGCCCCTGGTCTCTGAGATGGGACAGCTGAGTTTCCTCTGAACCGAGCCACCACACAGGTCATCTCTGAAGTGACAGCAGGATCGATAAGGATACACACAGCTGCTATGCTTGCGTGCAGGCGAGTGGGCACCGTGCCAGGTGCTTTCTGGGTGTCTAATCTGCTCAAGACAGCTCCGTGAGAAGGTGCCGTTGTTGTTTGGATATTTATGTCAAGATCCAGCCCTGACATAAATTGTCTCTTGGACTAGTGGAGAGGCGTGGGAATAATTGAGGCACAGTTCACACAACAATATCAGGAGGGAGACTTAGGGTTCATTCAAATCCTGAAGATCACCTGGCATTTATTATCCGAACAGCTTTTATATCAAAAAGGCAAACTGAGGGGGAAATTTATTAGCATTCTGTTAAGGGGTAGCAGGACTTAAGTCATGTCTGCAACTATGCCTGCTCTGTCACGTAGACCGAATTAACACCTCTTCCCCAAATTTACAACGATCTCCCAAAATTACAAAGAAGGAGCAGAGCGACATGAGCATATCCTGACCCTTTGTTTAGGATGGCGTCAGTTTGTCTGGAAAGGCTAGGTGACCACCTTCTGTGTGGCAGGTGCACACTGTGGCCTGAAAGTCTGGTCGCCATACAATGTAGAAATATGGGCCTGTATAATATAGCCCTACATATTTATAGTAGGAGAAACTGAGGTATAGAGGATTTGAGTGACTTGTGTTAGGTCAGACATGTTGGCAGGAGAGCCATTAGTTTCTATAAGCAGCTTTCCTGGATCCCCACCCCCCAGCCTCTGACCTCCCACACTGATGCTGCAGACCTGAAACCATCTGCATTTACTGTTCTGACCCCTCTGTAGAATTAGGATGATAATGGTCAGGTGTTTGAAAGCGTCAGTCAGGAAACAGCAGTAGAAGCTGCATTGTGGTGTGGAGGAAGGAGGAGAATTCTAAGTGACAGAGTCAGGTCGGATTGGGGCTGGAACCTATATCAGGCATATCGCCACAGCCCCATGGCAGAACCTTGATCCCAAGAATCCAGATGACAAAAATCCATTTTACTTATATTCAGACGTGTCTTAGGGTTTTATTGCTGTGAGGAGACACCTTGACCACGGCAACTCTTATAAGGGAAAACATGGAATTGGGGGCCGGTT